GGCGTGGGAGTGCTTCGCCACCGGCGAGGAGCCAAGCTTCTTTTAAGCTACAGGAAAACAGTTGGATGTCTCCGACGGGCAGCGGTGCCCGGTGTCCAGTCGGAGCCGGCTTGTTCTTCCCGTCGAAGACACAGAAATCCCCTGAGTGGTGCGCCAAAAATAGTGAGCACTATCTGGTTGGGGGGACGTGTGCGGCGGAAGTGCCGGCGGCGGCGTGCGGCGCGCGGGTGTGTGGCAGGTGGGAGAGCGGACACACCTGCGATGGTCGCATGGGGATGTCGAAGCGCTGCAGCGTGATGCCGCGCCGCTTCAGGTCGAGGTAGAGGTCGTCGGCAGGGGCGCCCTGCAGGCGGGGAGAGGTGGGGAGAGGTGTGGGGAGGTGTGGGGAGATGTGGGGAGGTGTGGGGAGAGGTGGGGAGAGGTGGGGAGAGGTGGCGAGAGATGGCGAGATATAGGGAGATATGGTGACTGCTGAAGTGTCCCTGAAGTGTCCCTGTAGTGTCCCTGAAGCGTCCCTGAAGCGTGCCGGAAGTGTCCCTGAAGCGTCCCTGAAGCGTCCCTGAAGCGTGCCGGAAGTGTCCCTGAAGTGTCCCTGAAGTGTCCCTGAAGCGTGCCGGAAGTGTGCCGGAAGTGTCTCGGAGGTGTCTCGGAGGCGGGCTCACCTAATACGCCCCCCACACGCTCCATATCTCCCCTCTCCCCATATCTCCCCATATCTCCCCTCACCTGATACGCCTCCCACACGCGCTCCTCCATAGGGAGATACGGGGAGATGTGGGGAGATGTGGGGAGATATGGACACCTGATACGCCTCCCACACGCGCTCCTCCATAGGGAGATGTGGGGAGATGTGGGGAGATGTGGGGAGATATGGACACCTGATACGCCTCCCACACGCGCTCCTCCATAGGGAGATGTGGGGAGATGTGGGGAGATGTGGGGAGATATGGACACCTGATACGCCTCCCACACGCGCTCCTCCATAGGGAGATATGGGGAGATATGGGGAGATATGGGGAGATGTGGGGAGATATGGACACCTGATACGCCTCCCACACGCGCTCCCCCATAGGGAGATATGGGGAGATGTGGGGAGATGTGGGGAGATATGGACACCTGATACGCCTCCCACACGCGCCCCTCCATAGGGAGATATGGGGAGATGTGGGGAGATGTGGGGAGATATGGACACCTGATACGCCTCCCACACGCGCTCCTCCATAGGGAGATATGGGGAGATGTGGGGAGATGTGGGGAGATGTGGGGAGAGATGTGGACACCTGATACGCCTCCCACACGCGCTCCTCCATAGGGAGATGTGGGGAGATGTGGGGAGATGTGGGGAGATATGGACACCTGATACGCCTCCCACACGCGCTCCTCCATAGGGAGATATGGGGAGATGTGGGGAGATGTGGGGAGATGTGGGGAGATATGGACACCTGATACGCCTCCCACACGCGCTCCTCCAGCATCACCGGGAGGAGCCTCAGCTCGTCCTCCGCCTGCGCGCGCCGGGAAGGGAAGGGTCAGGGACACTGGCACACTTCTCCACACACACGAGGTGGTGGGGCAAGGGCCAGGCGGCCCTCGCGACTCCTAAGGGTAAGGTACACTTCTCCACACACACGAGGTGGGAAAGGCCAAGGGCCAGGCGGCCCTCGCGACTCCACGCCCAGAGCACAAACGGGCAGCACTCGGTGTCTCACGAGCGCTTGGGGGAGGCGGCAGTGAGGGTGACGGTGGCGCGGGTGAGAGCGAAGGTGGTGGAGGGGAGGGGGGGCGGCGGTGGGGCGGACGGCGGCGGTGTGCGCCTGCTCAATCAGCTGCTCGACTTGCCCGGCGCCAATCTTGGCCTCAATCTCAGGAAGTGATGCGGCCGACTTGACCACCGCGAGCCGCTCCTTGGCGATGCCCCCCACCACCTTTGCGTACTCGGCCGACGCCGGAAACGCCTCGAGCGGGACGCGCGCGGGGCGCATCACCGATGTGCGCTGCGTGCCAGCGCGTTGGGGGTTGCGCGCACAAGTGTGTGTGGCGGCGCGAGCGGAGCGAGTCGGAAGGGGCGTGAGGCGGCGCGGCGGCGCGTGTGCAGTGGGCGCTGGTGTCGGATCGCGGGCGTGGCGAGATGACAAGCGAGGACGGGGCGACGTGTCTTGAAATCTCGGAAGCGCCCGCACCTCGAGCGCGGAGAGCGTTTTGGTGTAGAGGCCCTCGAGGATGGCCTTCGCCTCGGGCTGGACGGGCAGCCCGACGATCCCGGTGCTCGTCTTGCAGCGCGCGTGCAGCAGGTGCGCCGGGCCCCTCGGCGAGCCGGTGGTTCGCAGCACACCAGCGGCGCGAGCGGTGAGCATTGTGTGTCGGGAAAAAAGAATTTCGGCTGCCGAGCAACACCGCTTCGACGGCTAGCGCATCACACTCTCCTCTCCTTAAAATCCCTGTGTGGTGGCGGCGTGCCGTTCTCCCATCCCTCCCTTGGGTTGTGTGTTTTCCTTCTTTCTTTCTTTCTTTCGCGCTTCCATTTTAGAATTCTTGAGCTGAAGGCCCTGTGGCTATTTCCAATATATTCACTCTGACCCGCAAGCTTGAAAACGTCTCCAACGGAGCTCCGTGTTGCTCCCAACGCCATCCCCCGCGCTCCCTGCGGCCATGGTCGATGATCCTAGTATAAGAGGTCATCTGGCTACCGCACCCGCACCTGCACCCGCGCAGCGTGCAGGGAAGCGTAAGGCTGCACCGCCTCGAGCACCGCCAGACAGCAGTGATGACGATGGCCCATCATTGCATGCGCCAGCACCGGCGCGGGCAGGGCGGGGGGCCAAGCCGGCAGCCAAGGGGTCCGCACGGCGCAAGCCGCCAGCAGCCAAGCCAGCAGCCAAGCCAGTAGCGGCCATGTCGAAGCGCCAGCGACGGAAGTGATCTGTACACACTGCATGAGTATGAATCGTGTGTGTGTGTGTGTGTGTGTGTGTGTGTGTGTGTGTGTGTGTGTGTGTGTGTGTGTGTGTGTGTGTGTGTGTGTGTGTGTGTGTGTGTGTGTGTGTGTGTACTATTGTACGAGATTTGTACATTGCGCTCTAGACGGGGGCTCTTGGGCAGCAGCTCACAGCCTATTTTTGGTCGGTTTTTGGCGCTAAAAATGCAAAATTTTCTTCGCGGGGCTCTGCCCCGCACCCCGCTGGGGCTGCCAGCCCCAGACCCCAGGCTGGGGCTCCGCCCCAGACCCCGAGTTAGGCGCTGTCGGCGGCCAGAGGCCGAGTTACGGCTGCAGGCAAAAGTCGCTCGCTGCCGTCTGAGCTCGAAAAAAATCGCGATGTAGGTGGATGGATTGGCGAGAGACTGCGACGAGGGATATAGATAGGGAGAGGCAGACGCCCGGGACTTCCCCTAAAAAACCCGCGGAGTACTCGCTCTCTTTTATGTCCCACCATGCAGAGCGCATCTCTCTCTCTGTTGTGCGAGGCGTGAACCGCGCCATTCGCTCTCACCTGGCAACCCTGTCTGCACGTCTCGCGCGCGCGTGAACAGGGCTCCAGGCCCCAAATTACGTGTGAGTGTTAGAGTTGTTTGGTATTGCTAAAAATCTCTCCCACACATGCGCTGCTGGCACGTGATTTCCGCCAAAAAATCTTGTTTGCTGTGAAAATTCCGGCGTGGAGAGAGGGGAAACCCCGACCGGTAGGGCCCAGACCTACCCTCCTACCGGCATCAGGTCCGGCCACAAAAAATAAACCGCGGTTTTCAGCGGGTTGTGAAAACCAGCGGCCGCGGCCTTCATCGCCCAGGTGGGGGGTCCAACCATGGAGGCGGTGGGAGTCGATGCGGCGATCGCAAGGGCGGAGAGAGAGGCCAGCGACCAACAGGCTGCCCTTTTGCGCAACCAAGCTCTGATCACACGCTTGAAGGAGCGCTCCAAGCGCCTTGACGGTGAAGGCACGCTCGTTGAAGCCAAAGCGCCGCCGCCGCCCAGCCGGGACAAGCTTGCCTTCATGGCGCGCGCCCTCCTCGGCATGGCGCAGCAGCAGTTTCAGCGGGTTCAGCCAGTGAGCAAGCCACTGGAGCACTCTCCCGAGCCGGAAAAGGAGATGCTGGAGACGGCAGTGCGCAAGCCGGAAAACGAGATGGAGACGGCAGTGCGCAATGCCCTCCGAGAGCTGCCGGCGCCGCTGAGCGCCCATGACATCGAGGCGGCGGTGGGGCGGGCGGTACGCGAAGCCCCGATCCGCGTCGAGGTGAACTTCGACGAGCACCTCGCGTCCTCGTCGCTCTCGACAGCGACGGAGGCGGCACTCGTGGACACGGGTTTTGCCCAAAGCCGCCGCCGCCTTCAGCTGCCTGGTTGGCGAAGGTGCGGACTACGGAGGCTATGTGCCTGACGGAAGTCTCCGCCCACATAATGCTGGATCAAGACATTGGGTACGAAGCCGACGGCTACATCATCAATATTGCCGCCGCCGTTTTTGTGGGCCTCCTCCTCCTGCTGGCGTCCGCGCTCCTCTTCTGCTTCAAGAAGGCCGCGGAACGAAAGCGGCATCAAGCCCGAGGCCAATGCCGCATCGGCCGCCGAGTCTGCCTAAGACTCCCCTGCTCTCCAAGAGAGCCAACTCCCTCGCTCCACTGGCATCGACCGTTCGCATTCTTAGTGGGAGAAGGACTTGCAGGTCACAATCAATGTCCGTGTGACGGTGCTTCTAAGGAGAAAGTTCTGCTCTTACTGGACTGTGGACTGTGTTCACAGTCTTGTGTGAGGGAACGATCCAAGTGCATTGTAACGACCGGCAAGTGTGTCAGACACAAATGCCGCTACATGTCGCGGCAGGCGTCCCCCGCCCGGACCGCCCGATCCGGCTCGTTCGCACCCGGCCAGCCATTATCGCCGGCGAGGAGTCCCTCACCGACCCGAGGCTCGAGCGCTGGCCGCCGCAGCTCAGTGTTCGACACAACCGATCCCGGCCCGCAGCAGCGGTTTGCTCAGGTCTCGGTCCTCTAGCCCCCAGCATAAAAGCTCGACCGTCATGTGTCACTGCGCCAATCCCAACGGCGGCGACGCACCTAGGACGTGTCCTATGGACCATCTCTGTCGTGATGTGTGGGCCCGGCCTTGACTTGCCTCACGGGCGAGGGCGAGAGCAGTCTCCTCCACCACCCGCATGGCCTCGCCCTTCGCTGCCGTCGACGATCATCACAGCCTCCCAGTCCTGGCGATTCGACAGTCCCTGCTGCCGCACGTCTCACCACATCCACGCGTGTGCGCAGGTGCGAGGTGAGCTGAGCGCGGTCCAGCAGCGGGTTGCGCACACGCTCGGCTCCTACGAGGCGCAGTCGTGCGGCGATGAGGCGCGAGAGCGGGAGCTGTCGATCGCCGACCTGGGCGACGCTGCCCGCGCGCGTGCTGAGATTATCGTACGTTCGCTCGGCGACGCGGCGAGGTGGCTTCCGAAAAGCAGCCCTGCCAGAATCGGACTGGGCCGACCCATTCCACTAGTAACTCGGAGCTCCCTCCCCGACCGCTCCTCTGCGGCGTCCAGTCCTGCATGTTCTCCCAGAGTTGCACGCCAAGCGAGCTCTGATACCCCCCCCCCCCCTCCCCCATCACGATTCTCACCCAGTGAGCGGACGGCCGCAATCAAGCAGCTGCGGGAGCAAGCCTCGAGCACGGTCGAGGCGGCCCAGGGCCCCCGCGGCGTCAGGGAGGAGGCGTGGTCGCGATTGGAGGCTGACGCCGACGAGACCCTTTCAGCCGCCTTCTACCAGGGACTGTGCGGGGTCGAGGTGCGTCATATCAGAGGAACACCTCCTTACCTAGCTCCTCTGGGCTCCTCGCCTCTGCCCTCCTCAGCAGCCGCCATGCCAGTCGATGTGCCTACAGCGCCAGCAATCGGCGCGCCCATATGCCATCGACCGACGCGTCCGCGCGCACGGCAACAGGCGCAGCATGGACGAGTCTTCACGTCAGGCGGCGCTCTGCTCACCTCGGCGGGCCGATTGCACCGCGCGTCGGCCGCGGCCTTTGCCGAGGCGAGCCGCGCGGCGCAGCTCGACCAGCAGGTCTGCCTTCTCGCATCCGAGCTCGAGCAGGTCGAGGAGGAGCGCGCGTCCGCCGAGGCTGGCCTCCGCGACAAAGCCACTAGGATGCTGAGCAGCTCGCAATCACCCACACGCAAGGCCTTGGTCCGGGCAGGGGCTCCGAGGGAGCCACCCCGCGCGACGTCGCCCTCGGGCGGCGCATCGCCAGCCGAGGTGTCCGCGTCCGCGCTCACGTACGTATCCGAGCTGAGCGACTGGCTCAAGGATGTGCTCGGAGGAAAGCACGTCGACGAGGTGACAAACACGCTCGTCACAGCCTTTCGCGCTTGCGCGGCCGCCGCGGAGGCGGACGCCGCTGCGCTGGTCGCGGCGGCATTTGGTGCCGCGGGGCCAGAGCGCCCGTCGGAGCGGGACAGAGCGGCCATGGAGCGAGCTCGGTTGCGGGTGAAGGGGCACATCGCCACGCAGGGCAAGTCCGACGGCAAAGCGGGGGCTACGGAGCTGTCGGTGCAGCCAAGCGATGGCGTCGAGCCGCTGTCAGAGGCGGTGGCAAGCTCGGGAGGGGGCGCCGATAGCGATAGCGAGGAGGAGGCGGCAGAGGCCGGTGAGGAAGAAGAGGAGGTGCTCGCCAAAAGCCACGACGGGGAGGAGCAGGCAGACGCGAAGGCTGGGGCGGAGGAGCCGTCAGAGGCTCTTCCAGGCGGCGCACTGGCTGACGCGGAAAAACGGCGACCGCTGCTGGTGGCCGACAGTGGCGGGTTGGGGGAGCTCGAGAGGAAGGTGGCGGAGGAGCCTAGCGTGCGACACCCTCGCAACACAGGCGGCGAAGGCGGCACCGGGGCGCAAGAGAGGGGCGGGTCGGCGACATCGGCGGCCGCGCGGGAGCCAGCATTCCCTCAGGATGGCTCGAGTGAAGCCGCCATCCGCGCATCCTACGAGGCGGAGCTCCTCGAGATGGAGGTCGAATTTGACCGGTGAGCGGAGATTGGCCGAGGCTGGCCGAGGCTGGCCGAGATTGGCTGAGATCTTAGATATGCACAGAAAATGAGCGGAGGTCGGGATGTTGGGCTTGCGGAGCCAAGTCTAGCTGTACGGTCCACGTTCTCCAGCCGCGCTCCTGCTGACTCTGTACCCCGTTCACAGGTACTGTGCCGCAGCGGAGGCCCACTGCAAGGAGCTGAAGTCGGAGGTGGCGAGATCCGCCTTGGAGGCGGCCTTGCTCGGCGACGAGCTGGACGGTACAGAGGTCGAGCTTGCGGACGCCTGCGCGTCGCGCGGGGCAGAGGCGGCCGAGGTGCAGCGGCGGGCGCGGGCGTGGGAGGCGCGTGTGGTCTCGCTGCAGGCCCGGCACGAGGAGAGGCTGCGACAGCAGCGGGCAGAGCTGCTGCAAGAGGCCGGCGCGCGCTGCTGACCATCCGGTGCACGACACGTCGATGACGCACCCCGTGTGCGGCGTAGGCGGACACACGGTGCAGTCACGAGGCGCGCGACGCGGCGGGGGTGGCGGAGGCAGCGAGCAGGCGGTTGATCGAGGTCGAGGGGGAGCTACAGCAGCTGCGTGCCGCGGTGCGATTGCCCCGAGATTGCCTGAGATCACTCGAGCATCCATGGACCTCTAGTCACCCGCTTCTTTGCTCGTCGCAGCGCGTACCCAGCTCCGAGGAGAACAATAGCTCATGGTTCAACGCTCCCCTCTCTTAGGCGTCCGCCGAGCGTAATCGGTACGAGTCGATGTTGCGTGAGGAGGCGGTGCGCGCGGCATCCGTCGCCGAGCAGCTGGAGGCGCAGGCCAAGGCGCTCGAGGCTGCGAACGCCACCTTGTACCAGGACAAGTACGCGTTGGAGACGGAGGTGAGAGAGGCCAGGGAGTCTGCCGAGGCGGAGAGGGGCGCGGCGGCCGAATCGAACCGACAGGTGCAGCACACCACAACTGCAGCCACCACCTCTCGCCTCCGCCTCCGCGACACACACCTCCGGATCGCCACGCCTCAGCCCCGCACTACTTGCCACGCCACGGGAGCTTCGTGACTTGTGATCTCAGGCTGCGGAGGCGGTGGCGAGGGCCGACGCGTTGGTCGCGGAGCTGTCGAGCGCGGACTCGCTTCGGGACGCGCTGGCCTCGCGTTTGGCAGAGCTCGAGGCCGCAGCGGAGGAGTGGAGGCAGCAGCCGAGCCTTGGCGGAGACGCGCCTTCGCCCGCACCGCACGCCCCGTCGCAGAGCGCCGCGACGCAAGTCTCGCGACCTCCGTCGCTCTGCGGCTCGCGACCGGTCTCGGGGTTGCGCAGCGCCGGGCCGGCGATGCTGGAGGGCCGGGAGCAGACGGCGGTGGTTCCCTCAGCGGAGGGCGCCAGGTCGCCGACCATACGCACACACGAACACAGAACTGCAAGAGGCACTAGCGGCATGGCAGGCGTCAGCGTGCGGAGACGTCCACTTTCCCTTGCTTTGCCTTAGGTCGCCCCGACCAGGCTCGGCACGATTGCACATCAGGTGTGCATGTGCGAACCCACACTGGGGACCCGAAGCATATGCAAAACCGCTGCAACGGGGCAGCAAGAACT